GAGCCAACAGAGTTAATCTCACCAAAAACCTGACCACAAAACGACCAGAAAGCCGCATAGGGCCTATACGCTGTTTTACTTAGTTTTTTCAACCACTAGTAATGGGTCTCGATTGTGGGCGAATCGAGCACTGGATTTTGGGCATTTTATATTTGGAATAGTCAGTACTATGTTTAGAGAGGCAACAGAGTTGATCTCGCTGAAAACCTGATGACAAAACGACCAGAAAGCCGCATAGGGCCTATACGGCGTTTTAGTTAGTTTTTTCAGCCGCCAGTAATAGGTCTCGATTGTGGGTAAATCGAGCACTGGTTTTTAAGCGTTTTCTATTTGGTATAATCAATACTATGTTTACCTAGATAATAGAGTCGATCTCACCGAAAACCTGATGACAAAAAGCCCAGAAAGCCGCATAGGGCCTATATGCCATTTTACTCAGTTTCTTTACCCAGCAGTAATGGGTCTCGATTGTGGGCGAATCGAGCACTGATTTTTGAGTGTTTTCTATTTGGTATAATCAATACTATGTTTAGAGAGCCAACAGAGTTTATCTCGCCGAAAACCTAATGACAAAACGACCAGAAGCCGCATAAGGCCTATACGCCGTTTTAGCCACTTTTTTCAACCACCAGTAATGGGTCTCGATTGTGCGTTAATCAAGCACTGGTTTTTTAGTGTTTTCTATTTGGTATAATTAATACTATGTTTACCTAGACAACAGAGTCAATCTTGTTGAAAACCTGATCACAAAACGACCAGAAAGCTGCATAGGGCCTATACGCCGTTTTACTCAGTTTTTTCAGCCACCAGTAATGGGTCTCAATTGTGGGTGAATCTAGCACTAGTTTTTGAGCGTTTTCTATTTGGTATAATCAATACTATGTTTACCTAGACAAAAGAGTCGATCACACTGAAAACCTGATGACAAAACGGCCAGAAAGCCGCATAGGGCCTATCTGCCATTTTACTCAGTTTTTTTAGCCACCAATAATGGGTCTCGATTGTGGGCGAATCGAGCACTTGTTTTTGAGCATTTTCTATTTGGTATAATCAATAATATGTTTAGAGAGCCAACAAAGCCAATCTTGCCGAAAACCTGATGACAAAACGACCAGAAAGTCGCATAAGGCCTATACACCGTTTTACTTAGTTTTTTCATCCACCATTAATGGGTCTCGATTGTAGGCGAATCGAGCACTGGTTTTTGGGCATTTTCTATTTGGTATAATCAATACTATGTTTACCTAGACAACAGAGTTGATCTCGTCGAAAACCTGATGACAAAACGTCTAGAAAGCCACATAGGGCCTATACGCCGTTTTACTCAGTTTTTTCAGCCAACAGCAATGGGTCTCGATTGTGGGCGAATCGAGCACTGGTTTTTTGGAATTTTCTATTTTTATAATCAATACTATGTTTAGAGAGTCAACAGAGTTAATCTCGCCAAAAACCTGACGACAAAACGACCAGAAAGCAGCATAGGGCCTAAACACTGTTTTACTTAGTTTTTTCAGCCACAAGTAATGGGTCTGCATTGTGGGTGAATCGAGCACTGGATTTTGGGCGTTTTATATTTAGAATAATCAATACTATGTTTAGAGAGCCAACAGAGTTGATCTCGCTAAAAACCTGATGACAAAACGACCAGAAAGCCACATAGGGCCTATACGGCGTTTTACTTAGTTTTTTCAGCCACCAGTAATGGGTCTCGATTGTGGGCAAATCGAGCACTGGTTTTTGTGCGTTTTCTATTTGGTATAATCAATACTATGTTTACCTAGACAATAGAGCCGATCTCGCTAAAAACCTGATGACAAAACGCCCAGAAAGTCGCATAGGGCTTATATGCCATTTTACTCAGTTTTTTCAGCCACCAGTAATGGGTCGTGATTGTGGGCTAATCGAGCACTGGTTTTTGGGAGTTTTCTATTTTTTATAATCAATACTATATTTACCTAGACAACAGAGTTGATGTCACCAAAAACCTGATGACAAAACGCCTAGAAAACCGCGTAAGGCCTATATGCCGTTTTACTTAGTTTTTTCAGCCACCAGTAATGGGTCTCGATTGTGGGTGAATCGAGCACTGGGTTTTGAGCGTTTTTTATTTGGTATACTTAATACTATGTTTACCTAGACAATAGAGTCGATCTTGCTGAAAACCTAATGACAAAACGCCCAGAAATCTGCATAGGGCCTATTAGCCGTTCTACTCAGTTTTTTCAGCCACCAGTAATTGGTTTTTGTGTGTTTTGTAATGGTATAATCAATACTATGTTTAGAGAGCCAACAGAGTTGATCTTTCTGAAAGCCTGATGACAAAACGACCAGAAAGCCGTATAGGGCCTATATGTCGTTTTACTAAGTTTTTTCAGCCACCAGTAATGGGTCTCAATTATGGGCGAACCGAGCACTGGTTTTTGGGTGTTTTCTATTTGGTATAATCAATCCTATGTTTAGAGAGCCAACATAGTTAATCTCACCAAAAACCTGACGACAAAACGACCAGAAAGCCACATAGGGCCTACACGCCGTTTTGCTTAGTTTTTTCAGCCCGCAGTAATGGGTCTCGATTGTGGGCAAGTCGAGCACTGGTTTTTGGGAATTTTCTATTTGGCATAATCAATACTATGTTTAGAGAGCCAAAAGAGTTTATCTCACGGAAAACCTGATGACAAAATGCCCAGAAAGCCGCATAGGGCCTATACGGCGTTTTACTAAGTTTTTTCAGCCACCAATAATGGGTCTCAATTTTGGGCGAATCAAGCACTATTTTTTGCGCGTTTTCTATTTGGTATAATCAATACTATGTTTACCAAGACAATAGAGTCGATCTCGTCGAAAACCTGATGACAAAACGCCCAGAAAGCCGCATAGGGCCTATATGTCATTTTACTCAGTTTTTTCAGCTACCAGTAATGGGTCGCGATTATAGGCGAATGGAGCACTGTTTTTTGGGAATTTTCTATTTGGTATAATCAATACTATGTTTAAAGAGCCAATAGAGTTGATCTCACCGAAAACCCGGCATAGGGCCTATACGCCGTTTTACTCAGTTTTTTCAGCCACAAGTAAT